TTAAATTGGTTTTGGCCACTTCCTGGTGAATGATGATCCAAAACTTACCCCACATGTGTGGACTTCCTTAGCCATAGCCATCCTCCATAGTATTTTGCATATTAAATAAGACTTCAACATTTTCGCTTTTTTTGTCTTAAAATATTTATTATAAATACGAAAATTTACAAATTAAGTTATTAAAATTATTTAAGCAAAAAGCAGCATAAAACGTAACATCCATTGACAGTGCCGAAGCGAAAAACAAGGATGCTTAATTAAAAAACTAAAAAAAAACCTCCACTTTGGGGATTAGTGCTAAAACATAATGGTAGTTAAGCCATTATATGTAGTGCGTAGTATAAATATGTATGTATGCAGTAGGTATGTTTAAGTATATGAAATTTCAAATCGTGCTAAAAGTTTTTTTCTTCATTATTACTATTAATGCAAATAGTTAGTCATATAAAAAAATGGTCAGCAACAAAGTCCAATCAAAATAAGTTAATCCAGCACATTCAATAATCGATTGAACTACAAAACAAACATACAAATGCAATATTTCTAAAAAAAAACTACGAAACCTATTTTAGCTGAGGTCCAGGAATTGCCTATTTTGTGGGGTTTGTTAGAGATTGGTGGCGGCGCTTAAGCATTTCAGCACACTTGTTTTATGTTCTCTCTTCATCCTCATTACGCTTCAACTCTGCTTTGTCTTTTTTACATAATTATCCCTTTGCTTTACAATTTTTTTTGTAAAAATTCTCAATTGAACGGATTCTCTCCGTATACCTTCTCTAGAGTTTTGTAAAAGTCAGCCGATACTTTGAATGCGCATCTCAGCAGTCACATCCAAAACACAATCATTAAAAGGGCTGTTATGAGGAGTATGAAAGTTTCGCGGCAGCCTGCATTATCCCAGCCACATTCCAAGTCGAATTTTAGTGCCTAAAATGAAGTAGAACAGAAATAAATAAAGAAAATATGTATGTAAGTAAAACAAATGCATGTATGTATGTATGGGCATTTCCATTACGAACGTAAGAGTCGTAAGCATTCAGAGCGAAGAAAAAGAAAGAAAACTTGAAAATATTTTCCCTTATACAGATTTTTGGTTTGCACTTCGGTAGCGCATTGGAAATTTCGGAAAAAGATTTAAATTTTGCAATAATTTCCAAACTAGACACTAAAAAACTAAGTATATATTCGTGCAGCGGACTAAAATTAACCTTAATACGCTACTCGCGTTTTTGTAAGGACATTTAACTGCATCGGCCCCGCAGGTTACAAAATTTTTCTTGTAATCTCCTCGAAAACCAATAATTATACGAAAAAAAGGTAGCATGATATATTTTTCTAAAATAAGCAGTAACTATATTTTCATAAAAAAGTAAGTGCGCCTGGGCCACCTTTTATTAGCAAGTTTTTAACCGACTTCCAAAATAAGGAGGGGGTAATCAGTTGGTCGAAATATTTTTTTTTATTATTATTATTTTTTTTTTATGTATGTTACCGCATAACTTTGGACCACGTCAACCGATAATTCTTTTTGCATCGGAAAGGTAGTGTCTCAGAGGTGGCCCCATACTAATCTGGTTAAGATGCGATCATTGGATCATGAGATATATATATATATATATATTTTTTATATGTGAGTTGAAGTCGGTTTTTTTTTGCTAAAAATTACTTGCTGTTAAATTAATACCATGTGCATACCCTCGGCCCCAACCATTTCCGTTGCACCATTTCCGTGTGCAATTTCCGTTGAATTTGCCAATTTACTCCCAACCAACCAACCGCCGCTAAAAAATTTTCACTTCAAAAACAACATTTTTTGCGGCCTTGACCCCTCGTAAGATCTTTAGCGGGCAGTTGGATCGATGAGAACCTTTGGTGTATTGCTAAAAACTACAAAAGGAAAGTCCATCATCATGCCCTCATCATGCCCGTGCTGGTATATGGGACAGAAGCATTGACAATGACAACACTCGATAAGGCGGCCATTGGAGTATTCGATAGAAGTATTTTGTAGAAGATTTGCGGTCCTTTCACAGTATTCAAATCGGAATCCGCTGGTGGTATCAGAGGAAGAGAGAAGCATTTCCAATTGGCGTCAGTTGGCGCAGAAGAGAAACGAGTTCGCGTATTGGGCCACAGGTCACTTTGGGCGGTTGTAAATTTAAAGTAGCGTACCTAGTAAAGTACCTAGGGTCCAGCATTATCACCACCAATAATCTCAGGCTGGAGATCAAGCGACGAATAACTCTTGTCAACAGGCGCTACCCTGGTCTCGGTCGGTAATTGAAAAGATATCATATAAAAGAAAAAATTCTTCAGAATTATATATATAAAGTTTTTGGTGCTTAAGGACGAATGGGTATAGAAAATGTCCTTTACAAACTTTTTTCCTAAATATCCTTGAAAATGTGTCATATTTTTTTTGTTTTTTTGAAAAAATTACTGTTTGAGGGCTAATATACGCACGACCTCATCATCGAATTTCGTCCTGCAAAGTTAATTAACTTAAAAAGATAAAATTTATTAAAAGCACATTTTCAATATTGATTCGTCCTGATTGCACTGATTTTTTTAAACAATTTTTTTAATTTACCATAACTTTAAAATTTCAAAAAAAAAAAACCTAAGTCAAAGTAAAAAAATAGAAACGAAGTTTTACTATATTTGGCCCATAGTTTCGTGAGTACACGGATTGTTACGTGCGTTTTGATTTTTTTTGTCGCACGGTGCAATCAACTGCTTTAAATATATATAAATCATATTTCTTTCTGATACTCGGAAAAGCTAGCATAATTGCAGACTAAAATTTTTTTTTATCAATCTTAATGTTGTGTCAAATTCTTACTTCCATTAACTGCTGCCCGCCTTTGTTATCACAGCGTGTCTCCCGAAGATCATCATCATGATCGTCACAATTGTGTCGTCCATACACTTGACACGGAGAATTCATGAAGGTTCTAAATACAGTGTCGGTCCATGTTTGCGATGAGCAAATATACTGTCGCCGTTTGCGTTGCCAAAATTCGACCCATCTAGAAGGTAAATGGGAATACGTATAATTTAATTTTATTTAATTTTAAAAATCAATAAGGCTTGTACACACCCTAAATCACAATCGCAATTCAAATCTGTATCGGACATTTTAAGATCGGTGAGAAAGACACTATTCGGCAAATAAGGCACATTGCCCGTATTTGGATTGGGTATCTTTTTCAGCATACGATTATTATAGCGTATATCCAGTGAGATATTGCGTACGCGTCCCATATTTTTAAAAAAATTGGCTGGTATCTCTTTCAGTGTAGTGTTGAAAAATTGCATGTACAAGTAAGGTGAACGCATACCCTGCAAATAAAAAATACTGGAGGGTTAATTAACTAAGAAACTAACAGCCAACTTCACGAAAGCAACTTAAGTGGAAAATAATTTCAATTTATTTTAATTTGTATGGAAATTTACCGAAAATAGCAAGCAAAAAAGTCTAAGCTCGGGCGGAGCCGAACATTGGATATACGGCGCAAGTATAAAATATAGATTTTTTTTCATCTTTCCGAAAACTACCGGTACATTGTAAGCAGGGGTGTTTTTATCCCTATTTCAAACATTTTCGATAATCTTATATAGTTATATGTGCCCATTTTCCGAAATTCCATAATAATGTTACTTCTTTTAAAGGGATTGTTATTAACATAAATTTTGTGTAAATTAACGTACTTAAATTTCGAAATATCGAAGTTTCAGGCATTTTTGAAATTTACCGTTATAAAGCAGTGGGCATAATTTTAGTCCCATTTCAATTTCACCGTTTTGCATTTATGTGGCAAGCATAAGAATCATTCAGGGTTACGGGTTGATCATAAGTGCCACGCCTACTTTCCAAAATTTTATCATAAACATATTTTGTGCTAAAGAATTATTGCAAACATCAATTTTGAATAAATTAGCTTCGGCATTTACTAATTTATCGAAGATTTCGTATTTTTCTAAATTACTGTTATATGGGATGTGGTTATTGTCCGATTTTAAACATTTGCAGGCGATTGGTATGTTTTACCAAGGCCCAACAACCGTGTTTGGAGGAAATTGGTGGAGCGGTTACCGAGATGTACACTAGCGTTGCCAAATGTCCCGTATTTGCCGGGAAATTCCATATTTTGCATTAAATTTAAAAGCTCCCTCCGGAACAAGATTTTTACAGAATTTTCGAAAATTTCACTACACAACATGGTCATTAGGGTTGTCCACAAATGCATGTGAAAAAGTAAAGCCGGAATTTTTATGCTCTCCCCCCTAAGGATTGTTCTATACCGAACAAAATATACCCCTATTTTTCATTTTGAAATCACAAAATATTTAGAGGTCGCTCAAAGCGCCCAAAGTTTTCCATGTATTTTTATATGGGGAAAAAACAACTTTTCGTAGAAATGGTATAAAATTCTTAAAAATTATTATATTATTATTATTATTATTATTGTATTATTGAAAGTCTCCTGAAGAGAACCAGAGTTTTGCGATCGAAAAATATTGATCTTCAAGAATTATATACCATTTCTACAAAAAGTTATTTTTTCCCATTTTGAGCGCTTTGAGCGACCTCTAAATAATTTTTGATTTCAAAATAAAAAAAATAGGGGTATACTTTTTTCGATATAGAACAATCCTAGGCGGTGCGAGCATTACAATTCCGACTTTACTGTTTTTGGACCACCCTAATGTACATACATTCCTATGTAAATGCTATAAGAACCCAAATTTTCAACTTCAAACTGCATTTCGAGTGGAGGTATGAAAGTTATCAAAAAAAATGCATTTTTGACTTCAGCGTCCTCAAGTCTACTAACAAACAAATTTTCATTTAAATCCGTTCATTATTCTATTTTTGCCCACCTATTATATGGAAGCGAAACACTGTGCGACATCTTATTTCATACTTTCCCATTTTAAGGTACAAAGATGTTGGAGGCAAAATCAAAACTTATAAAACAAAAATTTTTCATTAAGAAATCAACGAAGTAATAAACACATATGTACATATTATTTGAATTATAATTCATAATACATGGTACAATACTTCTCAGGCTATATTACCTACCTTCAAAATACGCTCATTGATACTACTAAATTGCGGGCCACTGAATGTGATATTCGTCAGCTTTGAAGGCAAATAACCCTCCATTTCACGGGCCAAATCGGTGGGTTGTCCCATTTGCACTTGTTGAATGTCCTGATTCGCACCAGAACCCTTCTTTATAATTCGCGTAAATGGCTGTGGTGCTTCTATCCATAGCTCACGTATATTATGATGATGCCGCAACAAATGTGGTATATTGAAATGTTCCAAATGAGAGTAGGCAGTTAGTTTGAGCGAACGCAAATGTGGCAATGAATCTAGGCAACCATATTCAAAATAGTGCAAACGGAAATTGGAAATGTCCAACATTTCCAAATCTTCATTGACGCCGTCGAAACTATTGTTATTCAGCGAGGTAATAGGATTGCCTGAGAGCATTAGTTTCCTGTAAGAACAAATGCACAAGTGTACATATGTATATGTACATATGTAAGTTAAAAATGATTGGCCCACCTTAAATGTGGCAGTGATTGCGTCATTAGCGGTACATTCGTCAAATCATTATTGGACAAATCGATCATACGCAGATTACTCATATTAAAGGCCAATTCTTGTGGTATCGACGGCAATTCATTATAACCCAAGCGAAGTTCGCGCAAGTACTTTAAGCGTATTTCGGGAATCGTGCTCAACGAAACATTCTCCATGCCAAGTTTGATGAGTGAATTCTCTAGACCCATAAATGATTTGTCCATTACTTTGAGATCACGGTTGTGAGAAAGATCGAGCACAGCGAGTCGTGGCATGGTAGCAAAAACTGCGTCATCTATCCGCAACAGATAATTGTAGGAAATGTCAAGATAGCGTAGGGACTACAACAATAGAATTTTAAATTAAAGGATATATATTTAAGTATATTTCATATGAGTATAGATACATTATCGTGGTCCAATTATGCAGGTGCAAAAGTTAAGTTGGAATTTTTATGCTCTCACCTAGGATTGTTCTATACCGAATTTTATTTTGAAATCAAAAAAAATGTAGAGGTCGCTAAACGCGCATAAAGTTTTTCATGTATTTTATATGGGAAAAAAAAACTTCGTAAAAATGGTATAGAGTTCTTGAAAACCAATATTTTCGATCGGAAAACTCTGTTTCTCTTCAGGAGATTCCCAATATTCATAGTAACAATATTTTGTATATATATATATATATATATATATATATATTGGAAGTCTTCTGAAGATTACCAGAGTTTTCGATCGAAAAATATTGGGTTTTTTAAACTTTTTTTTCATATAAAATACATGGAAGACTGAGCGACCTATAATTATTATTTTTTTTAATTCAAAATAAATATAGGGGTATATTTTTTTCGATATAGAACAATCCTAGTGGGTGAGACCATTAAAATTCCGACTTTACTTTTTTTTAAACCACCCTAATATATAAGTACACGCATATGTATGTATGTGAACATAAATGGGCCATTCTTTGCCAAGCGGGCACCCCAACTCTCCGTTTTTGGTTTGATTTAAACAATTTGAAACCTTTTGGAAAAACTAGTTTAAAAGGTCTGTTTTTAAAAACCGTTGGGCATTTTTAAAAATTCAACATGGCGGATTAATGATGGCGTCTAAACTTACTATAAATTAGATTTTGCTTTACAACTTTTAAGACTCTGGAGAACCCAATATTCAAAAAGGGAAAACTAGCAACAAATTTCCATGTTCTTACGGTTTCTTGATACGAATGGGGGGTCTGATTTTAAAAGTTCAAAATGTTGAATCCAATATGGCGGGCAAAAAAAAATAAAATTGATTCGATTCATCTGTTTGGAAAAACTCAAAATTACGGACCCAATATGGCGGTAAAATATAATTCAAACCGATTAGATTCGCTTAAAACTGCACAATCGGGGTTTTATAAGATCGAAGATAACGAAACTTAATCAGTTTTAAAAATTCAAAATAGCGGATCCATATTGAATCTAGCATTTATCACACGAAAAGTTAAAATCGAACATACATGGTGTATGAGTTGCATTGAAATATCGTTTCAGTAACTCAAACGCAATGTAAATCTTTCCGTCGAAAATTGTAGATCCGTATGGGCCCGCCATTTTGAATTTTTTAAATCTGATTTCAGACTCATAGTCAGCGGTCTCAAGTATCCGCGATTGTAAAGTTTTAGGCGAATCTAATCGATTTTAATTTTTTTGACCGCCATATTGGCTCCGCCATTTTTAATTTTTAAATCTTACTACAGATTCTTAATTAGCAACCACAACATGCTTTGAGGAAAACGTTTCAAACGAATCGGATCAATTTAAATTTTTTTCGCCCGCCATAGATACGCTATTATGAATTCTTAAAATCAGACCCCCGATTCGTAATCAGAATCCCTAAGAACATAAAAAGCGGCTCTTAGTTTTTCTTTTTTAGTATTGGGTTCTCCAGAGACACAAAGACTGTAAAGCAAAATCTAATTTATAGTTAGTTTAGACGTTTAATTTAAACTGCTATCTCGATTTTTAGAAACTAAAAATATACCCTTTAAACTAGTTTCCACACAAGGTTTCGAACTGTTTAAATCAAGCCGCATAAATGGAGAGATCGGGTGGCCCGCTTGGCAAACAATGGCCCATATATGTATGTATATTTATTTTATATTCACCCTAAATTTATTTGACAAATCCATGCTATGTATTGTCGAGATGAAATTGTTGGACAAGTGCAGTTCACATAATGTCAAAGCGGCCAAACTGGATAAGGATGACGAGGGTATTTTGAGCAGCATATTGTGTGAGACGTCCATTCTGTTTGGAGAATTAAAATAAATCTTAATTTCTATCAAACTAAACAGCTAATTTTATTCACTTTTCCATGCCGCCATTATAGAAGAGATTATCTGGTAAGCCTCGCAAGTGGTTATGTGACATATCAACGACACGCAAAGCGTAGATGGGTTTAAAAATATCTTGCGGTATGTCCGTTATGTAATTGTGGTCCAAATAGATAAGCTAATATATTTTATACAACAGTTATAAATAGTTACTTATTTCATAAAATTATTATTATTCTTGCTCGAACAAACCTGCAGCTGTTTGGTATTTTTAAATGCGTCAAAATCTAGCTCGCGTATCCGATTGTAGGACAGATCCAGCCATTGTAAATGTGGCATATTACCAAAGACATCGCGTGTGCAATTCTGAAATACACCAAATTAAAAATATATATTTTAACTCAACTATTCCATCCAATCCTTAGAATAGCTCACCATTAAGGAATTATAACCCATGTAAAGATGTGTTAATGAGATTTCCGCTGGCCGGAAATAGCCCGGATGTATAAGCGAGATGTTGTTGTGTGATAAGTCAAGCAATTTAATATTTGAATGATACATTGAACCTATAGAGAAATTTTAATTTTAATTCGACTAAGTTTATTTCAAATGCCAAATATCGTCATACTAACCATGATCATTCCGACCCGCCCAAGAACTATTGTACATCAACATAATGATCTGATTGTGACTCACATTCACATTTAAGTTAGATAAGGTACCCACCTGTAAGTGTTTTAAGTTTTTTATGAATAGTATGCATACATATTTAGTATGTATGTGTTTGTTTGCGCTTACTTGGTCAAAGTAATCGAAGTTAAAATTTGGTAAGTTATTAAAAGCCATATCGAGGATTTCCAATTTAGGTAAATTCTGAAATAAAAACAAGACAGTTATGAATTAAGTATTACAAACGAGACCCGTATTTTTAGGTTGCTGCAGGCAGTGGTGTACATATGTTAGAACTCCACGTCAAGGGTAGAAAAGAACGATGCGATCAAAGGAATTTTTTATGAGTTACGAATTCGCCCTTGTGTACTATTGAACTTGTGATTAAGGTAAAGACATATCCAACGAAAACTTCCCATGGCCTTCGAATATTCTTGTGCTACTCTTCTTAGTAAAAAGCCTTTAAATGCGTTAGCAGACATGTCTAAAATCTTACAACTTGGTTTGGTATTTCGAGACATTTCGATACTTGGACTTACAGACAGAGTGCAGCGTATCAAAATAGTACATCGGCTTCGTTGGCTTGGTCATGTTGTACCAATGAACCCAAATTCTTCAGCCCTGAAAGTATTCAACGCGGATCAGAAGGAAGAGTAAGGCCTACTCTGCAACGGATGGGATAGGTGGAGAAGGACTTCACTTCACTTTCAATTTCACAGAAAGGAAACGAATGGCATACTTTATTCGACTCGCCCAAAATCGCTAAACAAGTAGAAGAAGAACACTCAGTAAATGAGCGGAGTCTTAAATGAGCCGATTTAAGTGGGCATGTTAAGGATGATTCGTATCATGCATTGGATATGTCTATTAAGTATGCCGGGGTTGATTCTTGTTATGTAGTAGTTTAAACTTCTTGCTGAATGCGTTTCATCCCAGGAGCCTTCATCGACTCACATCACTGAACGTTGTGCGTCAGGCAGCGCGACGAAATTTTGGCGTCCTAAAGTTGCAATTACAACCGGACATCCAATATTTATATTTAATTAAACAACTCTCCATCTCCGGGGCATAAATGAGTTGTAAGACCCCATCTGGCAATCACATCGCACCACTGGGGAAGAAGTTGATAGTGACTACCAACTAGGCAGAGCCACATGGAATGACAAAGACCGACACGTAGTTGGTGAAGAGTAATGCGGACCATACCGGGAAAAAGGATGGAAAAGAAGCGTCATTTTAAATGGAAGAAATGAGATGCAAAAAGACGTGGATGCAAAGAGTTTGAATACTGGCAAGTAGAAATTAGGCGTGAATATCAGAAGACAGGTCACAAATGAAATAATTTCAAGACCGGAGCTTATATGTACTTGCAAAAACAAAGATGGAAATCTGGTAGCAGACGTCCAAAGTGCACTTAATATATAGAGGTACGCTTTTGAATGGGCACTAAGGTGGCACGTTTGACAAAGAAAAACCCAAACCAATTTACCGGGATAAAGCACACGTCCCTCCAATCGAACAGAACGATGTGAGAAAAGCAATAATGGGCACATACACCAACTTCTAAACATAAATTGGTCTGATAGCTTCAAACATTTTCACAAATACCTCTATGGACAACGCTAGTTGGAACGGATGAAGTGGCTACCATAATTTAAAAACCTAGAAGGACAGGCGGCTCGGTGGATTGAGAGACAGCAAAGCTATGACTTTGCCACACTGCTCAAAAGCTGAGGCCAAAGAAGTAATTGTAAATGTCCAGCTAATGATATAAGACCAGTGGAAGAATGGGAGGAACAACAACTACGAAAGTGGCAGCAGGAAGATCTGGGTGGATTGCTAACTGTGCAGGTTATATTGCAGCTAAAGGACCGAAATTCAGAAGTCATGGCCAGATGGGACAGTATAACTCTTCTGCAGCTTTCGAGCAAATCGCCATGAATATAGCAGGTTCATTTCCTATCAGCAGATGGGGAAACAAATACGTGCTTGATTTTGTGGATACATTTAACAAATGGCCATAGGTATACCCGATTCCAAACCAGGAGGCTAAAGCAGTAGCGAAAGTATTCACTTACAGTTGGGTTGCGAGATACGGTGTACCTATAGAATTGCATTCTGACCAAAGAACAAATTTTGAATCAGGAAAACTCGAACGACAGCTCCTCATCCCCAATCAGATGGCATGGTGGAACGGTTCAACCGAACCCTGGAAGAGCATTTGAGAAAGGTCGTGGACAACTGTCAAAAGGTTGAAATGTCCACATATGTACCCCGGTTTCTGATGGTATACCGGTCAGCAGTGCATGAAGCGACGAGTAAAACTCCTGCAAAGGTAATCTTCGTCACTGTACTTCGCTTTTATTGACCTGAAGTTTCGAGTAAGTGACGATGTAAGGAGATTTTGAAAAGAGACGATCCTGGAGAAAGAGCTAAGAGAGATACATGCTCTGAGACAACGTAAGCAAATTATGGGTGACAAGATACAAGCCAGCTGATTAGGCGATGAATTCTGAAATAACTTGACGTCGAAATTACGAACGTTAAAAGCCAGAAAAATATTTTTTACTTTTGCTTCAGCAGATCTTGTGTATTTGGATCATGTCTTTATTAAATATCAAGGCACATTGATATGCCTTGTTAAATATATATTTCTAGTAACACAATTTTGCCCTTTGTCAAATAGGGCAAACATTCTTAAGGTGCAACATTGGTTGCGTATACCATTTTAGTGGGAGGACAGGTAGTGGTAGCAAACTATCGATAGTCATGACGATACATAGTTTATAACAATTGTGAAAAATTATTATGCCTTTTTTCTTGTTTTTCAGCTGCAACGAGCTTCCGCCGCTGAGTGGTATGCTTGTTAAGAGACGTTACTGCAAAACGCTAGTACGTACACAACTGTGCGATTTTATCGCAGTAAAAACTTTCAATTTAAAGACAAACAAACAAAATTAAAAAAATAAATGAAATGCTTAACTTTTCTACATCAAATATGTTTTGTTTTCTTTCGTTCAATTTTGTTTTAGTATTGTAAAATCCTTCTATTGACCTTTTTCGTTCTGAAAACGCGGAGTCAGCGATTGCGGCACGACCAAAGGAAGAACTGCAGCAAAATCGCATAAGTGCGTGGCACCTCATTTAAAACTATGGCCGGCATTGTTGTAAATTGTCGGAACAGATTCGCATAGATGTGTAAATACCTTTACAGGTACATGAAGTTTTATCTTGCAGTAATGGTACAGTAGTGGCAAGTGACAGGCACTAATATGGCTGGAATCAAAACCCGTTAAATAAATGCAGGTTTCTTTCAACTCTGTCCATCAAAATTGGTTTTTGGGAGGGAAATGTTATCCCTGACTCTGTGAGGATTTTTTGTGTTGGCTTTAGGGTAAATCACTTTTTCTCTAGAGCAAAACAGTGCTTCAAGTGAGGGCGTTTAGGACACATCAAGCTCTTGTGTAGGTCCACGAACCGGTACATAGTCTGTGACAATGAGGAGTCCTACCCAGAGAAGTGTACGAGTGCAAACCCGAATTGTATTTTATGTGGTAGCAACAGTCACTTGTCGATTAACAGAAACGTATGCCCTAGCTGGGAAAATGAGGGAGGCAAGCTTTCCAAAAGGGAGGTGTTTGATAAGCAGAGGAATGTGCTTGGGGTAACAGTTATGCATTACTAGAAGACTATAATGAGGCGTTCCCAGCTCCAAGCAGGGCGGAAAATAATAGTCAAAATAACGTAGCTGTTATTAATAGGCGCCTTACTACGAGAGGTTTCAATAACGTTGTCAAACAAGGTAGGAATCCGAACAATGAAGCGACAAGAAGAGTTCAGAATAACAGAATAAAGGAAAGTAAAGTTAAGGAAAGGACGGTAGAAGTTTTTGAGAGTGATAAATGAGAGAGAACTAGCGAGAAAAAAGACTGCTGGGTCAACTAATTTCCAAGTTTAATATAGGCGCTAAGGAGACTATTGTGAAGGTTTTAGGGAGCTAATTAAAATCTAAGGTAGACGACAGACTTACCAGGGCATAAGCTAATTACATTTAATTTGATTTCAAAATTCTGAGCTGATGGTTACAGAGGTGTAGCTTTTGGCAGAAGAAAGAACATTCGTTTTCAGAAGATCAGGTATAACTCAAATTTTAATGTTGTTGTGGTAGAGACCACAAATCTTCTTCAAAATTGTATTATTGTATCAGCATATTTTCCCCCTACGTTGAACAGGTATCTGTTTGACTACGAAATCATTCGGTTAATGCTTTTACTGGAAAAGCGTGCAAACGTCCTAGTGTTGTACGATTTGGGGGGCTTTCCCAGGGATCTCCCCAAGGGGAGGGTTCTTCGGAATGCGATCGAAAAGGCCCATTTTAAGTGCTTGAACCACGGGAGTTCTACTTTTGCCAAAAACAAGCACAGTCCTGAAGGTTTAACGGTTTTGCACCTGTAGCCATCATTGGCCAGTAGTTGTTGAAATAGAATGCGCTGAGAAAAGACGAAACCTGTTTATTGGAAAACGAAAGTAGACATCGTCCCTTTCCGGGCTTGTATGTGAGGAGAGTTTAGGCGACATCAGCAATGCAATTAGGGTGAGTGGAATGACGAGATTGAGAAGCACTATCGATCTATGTATCTGCTACTATGTATCTTAACGAATTCCTGTACCAGTCTGGTAATTTAAAGGCTCGCAGCAGAAAGGTTTTTCTGTGCGTGCCGGATATCTCGGACGCGTACAACAGTGTTAGCATCGATAAACTGAGGGTGATAATGGAAAGGCTGCATATGAACGGTAACATATGGGGGTGGGTGTTCAATTTCTTTTCAAGGAGAACTCTTGCCTTGGAGAGGCACTCGATTCAGGTGGAGAACGGGCTGCCGCAGGGAAGTTGTCTCTCCCCCGTACTGTTTAATTTGTAAACGGCTGGGATCCATGCCTTAATTTTCAGTTTGCGGAAGATTTTGCTTTTGTTTGCTGTTTGACGTGGAGCTTGATACGATTGGTGCCTTAGAGAGGAAGCTAGCCGCTGTTAGTAGCATGTGTAGGGACCTCAATCTTGGCATCAATATAGCAAAACCCAAATTCATGTGTGTAAAATCCAACAGGAGAAATTCCTTTTCGCCGAGTTTAGAGGGTATTGAAATTGAGAAGGTTCGCTCTCTCAAATAGTTAGGTAGAATTTTGAGCTCGAAGGCGTCGGTGAGTGAACAGGTCAGCAGATTAAAGAAACTTG